AAGATTACTATCTTCGCGTTCATGCGAGAGAGGTTTATCACCAGCATACAAGCAAATATAACAGACCGTTTAAACAAAAAATCTCAAATCAAGTGACACGGCAACCGAATCAAAGCAACGGTGTTGTTGTAAGTGGACCGGCTGTCACGCGCGTACAGTCACGAGGATGCGAAACAATCGCGGTTTATCTTCAGGCCAGGACTGCACACCAGAACAACATTCCCACAACCCGGCACACCACATCCTGTACAGGGACTCCTCGACTACTTACGAACATTCGAAGAACCAGTGGCATCTACATCTGCAGAACGTGAAGAACCAGTGGCATCTACATCTGCAGGAGATTATACAACTTTTAAAGCCATTCCCCGTGTTTAGTGCACATGCCGCACAACGTGTTTGGAATCGACAGCAGTGAAGTTGGACTCACGAACAAATCGACTTCCGAACAAACCTCTGGAACCTAACTCGTTTGTAAATAGAGGAGTCCCTGTATTTAGTCCATGGGCCACAGCAGAAACTCGTACCGCCTAAGGTAGTAAAACTTTCGTTTCGTACTAATGTGTTAACCGTGGACATGAAAAGTTAATTAAGTGAGACTCACACTAATTTCAAATGTTTATCACATAATTCACTGTTAATTGGACACGCAAATAAATTTGAACCGCTAATTGGATGCCACTTTAGGTGAAACTGAAATATCTGGTCTGGACACATGGACAATAATATATATACATACCAAGCCCTACACTTACTCTCATCTACCAGCGATCTAGACAATAATTCCGCACCAACCCGGTACACCACATCCAGTACATATTTCGCAAATGCCTCTGACTTACGAGTACTTGCGACAGGAATAAAAATAAAAACTCGGTAAGAAATTAAGCCACGGAAATGATAAACCCGAAATCGGGTTCTCAAATCGATGTTTCGGTTTTTGTTTTAAATACATTACTTAGAACGGAAACATAACCTATGAGGTTAAACGATCTGTCGACGTGGATTCACTCCACGCGTGTAACCTACAATTACGCGAACTTTCTAAAACCAGTGGGGCAAATACCTTTTGCGGACCGAACGTTTACAAACCAATTGTAAGTGAGCGAGGTGTCTGTAATACACGCGTGGTTTTTTTTAAACTTAAATACTTCGTTGAGAGATTCGGTATATTTCGGTAGCCTTAACCGAATGCACAACGAGAGAGAGAGAGAGAAACACCTTTCTCAATCCACGTCTGGATGAAGAACAATTTGACAACCACCACCACGTGACCAAATCGGTCACGTGGTGGTGGTTGTTTGACCATACTTCACCACGCTCGTCAGTGCAGGCTGGTGAAGCGGGCAGCACCAGAAGCAGCTCAGATATCACTGACCACTGACGGTCGGCGATTGCCTGGAATCAAACTCACAGCACCGGTGCCTTTATGAGCACATACATATGTAATAAATAGATTGTAAACGGTAGAGTCTGGCTTCCTTTACATATTACGTTGGCAATATCTTGTTAATCGCTAATACATGCTAATTAAATATCTTAGGTTGTGATCACATATAAGTGTAACGAGCAAATTTTTGTGCCCTGTTATTAAATTATTTACAGTATTCCGGACTCCCCCCTGCCCCCCCCCGTTAATCCGGCTTCGAGAGTTTTGTTTTGGTCCCTGAATCCCATGCGTGAAACACGTGGTTACCAATGGATTCTCGCACTCACAATACACGTGTGGGATATCGGTCACTCACGATTCAATTAAAAAATGCGCATTTTTAATCGAGCTTCAGCTGCTGCTAGCCCCTACGGGAGGGTCTCATCAGCGAGAAAGAGAGAGAGAGAGCGAGAGAGTTCGTGTGGTTTCGCTGTCCCTCCTCCACCTCCTTCCATCGAATAAGCGCAGACTGCCACCGTGGCTTTACCGGTCTGACCCGCACGACAACAAGCGCAACTCCTCTTGTGGCCGCGTCTTCAATTTAAGATTCGGTTGATGGTCACAGGAGGAGGAGGAGGGAGGAGGAGGGAGGAGGAGTGTGAAAGCCAGGAGGTGATGCGACGTTTGGATCTCGAGTGAGATGTTTATTCTAGACGTCCGCGTTGTGTTGTGCACGATGGAAATTGTTTGCGAATGTCACATCTGGGCTGACGGGTCGAATGGGGGACAGAAGAGAGCAGACGGAGAGGAAGGGTTGAGACGATACTGGAAGGCACTCAAACGCACAACTTACGCGATAACGAGTTTTAAATAAGCGTAGTGCCGCATCGCCCCCTAGCGAAAGTAACGGATTCTGGGCTGCGCGTGGTATGACAATTCAGGCGTTCCCGAACTCCAAGCCCTCGTGAATACAAATTTAACTGGTTACACGCTGCACGCGCCCGATGATCGTTAAATCGACGATGTCTGCGTCACGTGACCCACGCTGAGATCTCGTTCTAAATGCGAATCGGCTCTCGATGAACGCAGGCATCGATGATTTTATTGCTTAGCGCGTCAAGTCAGACGCAGTTTAACAATTATCGGGTGCGCGCAGCGTGGAACGGATTAATTTGTATTTGAATGGGGGGAGGGGGGCGGTAAATGTGTAAACGCGGAAAGACGAGAGCGTGGTGTTAGGTGGGGGGGGGGGGGAGCAAGCACTGGAGATTGGGAAAGCCTGGACCCGAAATTATTCTCGTCGGCTCGGCCAGGGGTCGGCAACCAAACAACAAACAAGAAGGGACATTTTGTTCGAATTCAGTAAAAAATAAACACCACCCCTCAATACTCCGAGAGCTGCAATGCACGTGAGTACAATGGACATGAGTACAATGCACGTGAGTACAATGCACGTGATGTACAATGCACGTGAGTACAATGCACGTGAGTACAATGCACGTGATGTACAATGGACGTGAGTACAATGGACGTGAGTACAATGCACGTGAGTACAATGGACGTGAGTACAATGCACGTGATGTACAATGCACGTGAGTACAATGCACGTGAGTACAATGCACGAGAGTACAATGCACGTGAGTACAATGCACGTGATGTACAATGCACGTGATGTACAAGGGAGTCTTCAACAACGTCCAACAATATTTTTCTGTAAAGCCCCGATTTTAAGAACAGCGCACGCAACAGTGATTTGTAATGCCGCATTACAAATCACTGTTGGGCAATAATGCCTTCACCGTTCATCGAATATAATTTGGAGGGGTTCTGTTTGTGTGTGTGCGTCGTTTTTTACTTTGCAATGAGATTGTCGGGAGGCCCTAAAGAGTCAAGGGCCGCATGCGGCTCCTGAGAGGCAGGTTGCCGATTCCCCGTGCTAGGCAGTCCGCTTTGCCGGTCCCCTCGTTCAGAACCGCTCGAGTCTGAAAAGAATCGAGCCAAGACTAAGACCTGGATTTTGAACGTACCCCTTTGTCACGTGTGCGGAAGACTAATAATATTGCGTCGCATTTGTTTTTTTTTCTGTCTCCTTAAATCATGTTCCAAGTTTACCGCCGGGGTGCTACGTTGTCGAGAGACGAAGGCACGTCCATTTGGAACCCTTCCGGAAGGCGCTGCACAGCCGTGCAGTGCCGGATTCAGCTAGTGCGGGGCCTATAGCATTTGTTATAAAGGGGCACTAAATAAAATAAAAACCATAAATATTAAAATACAAATTTGTAACTTGCATAGTAAAGTAATTGTATGTTTTCTTTTGCTACACGGCCAGATAATACGACAAATCCCTAAACTTAAACACCCAGTCGTTCATGAATGTTGAAGGCAGTCTAGTACTATAGTAATAGAGCAAGTGCAGAATTGATGGCTTGAAGTAATTTTCGCGCGGGACCATTGAAAGTGTCGCATATGTAGCTACTTTTGCAACTAGGATCACCCGGCACTGCAGCCGCGTGTCGCTGTTCGTCACGTGGCGATCAAAACCAAACGTCTGTTCAGTATTTTAAACCAAAGTTTCGCCCGATGAAATGAACATCAAACGTAACATCGTGCCTTTATTTTTTGCAGTTCTCAGCGACAAGGCTGAGGATCGTAAAATCACTGCACTTGGGAATCTGGTTTTTAAATAATAATAAAAAAACTGCGGCTGGAATACGAAGAATCAAAATTCAGGATCTCAGTAGGGCCTGCCTGGCATCTCCGACACGGCCCTCACGGGCACCATCTTTGGGGGCACCTTGTCACCCGAAAGTTTACATTCCTATTCCAAGATAAATACATGTAGCAATGAAATAAATAGGAAGACGGACGTCAATGCTGAGGCCCAACAACTCAGCACCACGGCGATCGTCAACGCAGCGTATAAAATGATCACCAAAACACGAACTAGATTCAGTGCGCTTTGCTCGCTCAGACTCGGCTGAAAGTTCAGCAATGTCACGTGGAATGTCCACCTCTTGCTCAGAACCAGCGGCAAATATGAGCACCAATTATGACTCTGTTAAGAAAACTGCTCTCATGTAAAACGAGCAGCTGCATGGATGACGTAACGCCTCCCAAGGCGCGTTCATCGTCGGAGGGATTCGATTAACTGCACGAATGATTATTTAGGACGTGGAACGTCCGGATTTAGCCAGTTAACCCAGCTAGTTCACGAGCGAGATACGCTGTGAATCGGCCGTACAGATGCTGATGGGTGGTTCTCTGGTAGGGTTAAGGCAACCGGTGGTCTCTTGTAGGCTTAAGACAACCGGTGGTCTCTGTTAGGGCTAAGACAACCGGTGGTTCTCTGGTAGGGTTAAGACAACCGGTGGTCCCTGGTAGGGTTAAGACAACCGGTGGTCTCTGGTAGGGTTAAGACAACCGGTGGTTCTCTGGTAGGGCTAAGACAACCGGTGGTCTCTGGTAGGGCTAAGACAACCGGTGGTTCTCTGGTAGGGCTAAGACAACCGGTGGTTCTCTGGTAGGGCTAAGACAACCGGTGGTCCCTGGTAGGGTTAAGACAACCGGTGGTCTCTGGTAGGGCTAAGACAACCGGTGGTCTCTGGTAGGGCTAAGACAAGCGGTGGTCTCTGGTAGGGCTAAGACAACCGGTGGTCTCTGGTAGGGCTAAGACAACCGGTGGTCTCTGGTAGGGCTAAGACAACCGGTGGTTCTCTGGTAGGGTTAAGACAACCGGTGGTTCTCTGGTAGGGCTAAGACAACCGGTGGTCTCTGGTAGGGCTAAGACAACCGGTGGTTCTCTGGTAGGGCTAAGACAACCGGTGGTCTCTGGTAGGGTTAAGACAACCGGTGGTCTCTGGTAGGGCTAAGACAACCGGTAGTCTCTGGTAGGGCTAAGACAACCGGTGGTTCTCTGGTAGGGCTAAGACAACCGGTGTTTCTCTGGTAGGGTTAAGACAACCGGTGGTCTCTTGTAGGCTTAAGACAACCGGTGGTCCCTGGTAGGGTTAAGACAACCGGTGGTCTCTGGTAGGCTTAAGACAACCGGTGGTTCTCTGGTAGGGCTAAGACAACCGGTGGTCCCTGGTAGGGTGAAGGCAACCGGTGGTCCCTGGTAGGGCTAAGACAACTGGTGGTTCTCTGGTAGGGTTAAGACAACCGGTTGTCTCTGGTAGGGTTAAGACAACCGGTGGTTCTCTGGTAGGGTTAAGACAACCGGTGGTTCTCTGGTAGGGTTAAGACAACCGGTGGTTCTCTGGTAGGGTTAAGACAACCGGTTGTCTCTGGTAGGGTTAAGACAACCGGTGGTCCCTGGTAGGGTTAAGACAACCGGTGGTCCCTGGTAGGGTGAAGGCAACCGGTGGTCCCTGGTAGGGTGAAGGCAACAGGCAGGTTTCTTCGGCAGGTCTAAGACGCCGGCAGCTCCGGGGCTATCTTGGCGACGACGCAGGTGCAGGCGAGCGGCACGTCCACCCAGCGGCGCTCGTAGTCGTAGAGGCGCGACGCGGGGTCGCAGGCCCGCCGGTAGAGGGCGCGCATGCGGTACACGACGGGCACGGAGACGAGGGAGCGCTCGAACGCCCCGGCGCTCGGCTCCACGCAGCCCGTGCAGAGGCACTCGGCCATGGCGATGCGCGACGGGTAGCGGTTGGGGTCGTGGTCCACGCTGAGCGATGAAAGAGGCGCAGGGAGGAAGAGAAGGCAGAGGGAGGGAGGGGAGAGATTGAGGCATGCGGAGAGAGTTGCGGAGGAACGGAGGTGATGCGGTCTCTTTTTGCGTTACGTCAATTGGTTACGACGCAATGAATGTATTACGGGGAACGCGTTTTTTTTTAATTATATACATATATAACGCGGATGCGAATTGGATGCAATGCGTTCGAGCGAACGTAGCCACGTCGCGCGTTACCCCTATATTGTATCATTTATAATGACGACGTTGACTTGTGAGAACGACAAGTCAGGAACGCAACAACCGCCGCGTTTTCGGAGAACAGACGGCACAGATTCCACCCGTGCCTTGTCGGTGCAGCGATCAAGTGCACTGCTGCACAAGGGAGCTAAGTTCGACTCCCGACCATGGCGAGTGATGTCTCGAACGGGTCCTAGCATCCTACCGCCTCCCACTGATCACTGGAAATTCTGCAGCACTAATGATAAGAGCCATTGTCCGAAACGTCGCATATTTTATACTTTTCCTTTAAAGGCCACGCAAAGACAAGGTCCGCCCGTTAGACGCGGGGTCGCTCTGCGTGATTCATTCTCGCTGCTGCGATCCAAGGACTTCTCCAAAATGCAAGCATCCATGATGCGACCTGAAGTGACATCGCATCAACTGCCCCGTTAATCCTTAATCCCCAGGGACTTTAGACGCCCCTGGAGAAGGGTTACTCCACTTGATTTGTCTCGGCTTGTTGGTGGAACACAGGCGGCCGCGAATAATCCTCCTCGAGGAGCCGGGCTCAAGGAAGGGGGGTCGGACAACCAGAATATCAAGAAGGGTCATTTGTTGTGTTGTTCGAATTTGGGAAAACAACAACTCAACAAATATCAATAGCCGCAATTCACGCCACGGGACGATGGTTCCCTGAATGAAGAACGTCGACGTAGCGGTCCTCAAAGAATCGGCAGCAACATTCGCCAACGGGAGGTGCAGCTTTCCGACCCCTGAGCAGACCCCACGCAGGGCTTCTGCCAAGCCTGGCTCGTCGGTTAAGGTCTGAGATCAGCCCCGGATCCACGTGGGATGCAAAAGTGACATTTGGTGGTAATGGGCCCAGGCAGGGACCTAAAACTATGAAATATATATATACACGCACACACACAGGGTGCTTCAACAAAGTGTTCACACTTACATGCGACTATCGTTTTTAATGGAAAAAGAACGGATAATACTACACTGTAACATAACAAATGTCATGTCAGTAGCTTCGAAAAGTCAAAGGGTCTCCCCCACTTGTTTCGCCACCGTTGTCAACGCGTAGCCTGGAATCTTCTCCAGGTTGCCCCCTAGAGCCCGGAGGCACGCTTCCTGTGTTCTTGTCGCAAATTCTCGGAAGTGTTCACATTTTTTTTTAAACACCCCGTTTTATTTTACCAGGCAATCCCCTACTGAGCTACGTAGCTCTTTTTCAGAAGCGACCTACTGTACCTATCACACGCGCGATAGCTCAACGAAGCGACGTATCGTCACGTGGACATTTAAAGCAGCCAACTACTCTCTAAACGCGTGATGTTGCTTCTAAACGTTGAAGGTAAAAAAAAAACCCGGAGAACGCGGAGCAAAAATCCACGGGACCAAATATACAGGGGTCAGGGTCAGGGTCAGGATCGAACCCGCTAGCTCGTGTCTACCAGGCGAGATAGTTAACGTCTCGCCACGTTGGCAGCGCAGGCGGCCCCTTAAAACACGCGGTGATTGTGGATGTCGCGGCGATGATGACTCGTGTCGAGTCAGGTCTCGTTGATTTTGCATCGAGAGACCAGGGATGAGTCCCCATTTGCAAGAGCGACCTGTAACAGCAACATGCTGTAGATGTGTCACGTAAATTGAGTTGCCACAGATGTGACTGTTGGTGCGTAAAGACGCTTAGGTTAATAATAACAAGGCAACACAGTGTTGTTATCGATGAGTGCGTTGAGTTTATTATCTGCGCCTGTGCACCACTGCTAACGCAGCAGCATCGATCATCACCGTCAAGAGATAATAAAAGAAAAGAAACACATTTTAAAACGACCAACAATTGCTACAACGCGAACACGTGATGTTATTTTTGCAAAACTTTATTCAAATCACGACGACAAAGCCTCCCTCCCTCCCGTCCCCTCCCGCGTCTCCAGCCCCAGCAACGAAGACCACACGCAGCAGACCGTAACGGCGTGGTGACAACTGCATCGGGCATCGCGCGGTGTCACCGCAACGGTGGCCTACACATCGCGCATCGCTTTCAGAGCGCTTCTGCGACCGTCTGGCAACGAGACGCCTCCTCCCGATGCGAGGAAGCTACTGGGCGCTACGGTATTTTTAAACCATCGAAATTGAAAACTCATTTTCCTTGGGACTGCGGTTTTTTTTGCGTTGGGGTTGTTTGTCCCTGCCCACCGCACCACCGATTGGCGTGGTAGCCTACGTACGGTGCCAAAGAAGTTCAACACACATGCGTGCATACAATCTGGGTCAGGGTTAAGGCGGGAGGAGAACGGGGTGGGGGGGGGGATAGTGATCACCAACTACGCAGCGTCGTCAAATAATTTGCCTACTCAACACAGACGCGAGTCACGACTCCGGCAAATGCACAGCTCATAGAGCCTAATGAGTTCATCCAATATGAGTTCATTTATTTATTTTGTAATTAATTGCTTTTGCTTTGGTATTTGTTTTAAATAACATATATATAAATAATTAACGAGATAATTATTTCATCCCAGGTAAGACTCATTGGGTTTCACGATCCGTTGTTCACACACATCGGCATGTAGAGCCCATCACATTCACGTGCGAGGGCATCAAAGAAATATGGACTAAAACCCACCACGCGTGACGAAGGGGGCGGTTTGATACCGCAAATACCTCCGCACAGATGGATTCAATAATTTGTTGTTCTACTGCCATCTGCGAGCCACTTCACAGCCGAAGCAAATAACAACAGCTGGCATTGTCAGGTAGTCTCTCATGAAAGCGCTAACCACACATAAACTCTGGAATTATTATTAGTTTTAATAATGGTTCATTTTATTGGAATTTCGAGAGTAGTCATTGTTATTACCATATTTTTATTTCGCTTAGATTGTATCTGTTCCTGTGAGTGTCGTTTCGTTGTTACGTACATCGCTTTGAGATACTTAAATATGAAAGGCGCTTTATAAAACTGAAGTTATTATAAACTCCTGCTTAGCTTCCTTGACCCAGGTCTGATGAGTTACGGGGATTTATCCATGATTATTTTAAATACGTGTAAACAATCACAGAGTCAAGCGACTGCCGTCAAAGTTGGTGATCATTCTGAAAAAAACAAACCCCACAAGGCTCTGTTAATTTAACAAATCCCACTCACCCTCTGTAAGAATACACATTCTTATGCCAGACCAAGCAAGTTTGCTCCACGTCTCTTGCAGTGGGGGGACATTGCGCACAGCGAACACTTACCATACATTCAAATTTGTCTGAGTTGCACCTTTTAAGAATAAGTAGTATTATCGTGTAAGATTACTATCTTCGCGTTCATGCGAGAGAGGTTTATCACCAGCATACAAGCAAATATAACAGACCGTTTAAACAAAAAATCTCAAATCAAGTGACACGGCAACCGAATCAAAGCAACGGTGTTGTTGTAAGTGGACCGGCTGTCACGCGCGTACAGTCACGAGGATGCGAAACAATCGCGGTTTATCTTCAGGCCAGGACTGCACACCAGAACAACATTCCCACAACCCGGCACACCACATCCTGTACAGGGACTCCTCGACTACTTACGAACATTCGAAGAACCAGTGGCATCTACATCTGCAGAACGTGAAGAACCAGTGGCATCTACATCTGCAGGAGATTATACAACTTTTAAAGCCATTCCCCGTGTTTAGTGCACATGCCGCACAACGTGTTTGGAATCGACAGCAGTGAAGTTGGACTCACGAACAAATCGACTTCCGAACAAACCTCTGGAACCTAACTCGTTTGTAAATAGAGGAGTCCCTGTATTTAGTCCATGGGCCACAGCAGAAACTCGTACCGCCTAAGGTAGTAAAACTTTCGTTTCGTACTAATGTGTTAACCGTGGACATGAAAAGTTAATTAAGTGAGACTCACACTAATTTCAAATGTTTATCACATAATTCACTGTTAATTGGACACGCAAATAAATTTGAACCGCTAATTGGATGCCACTTTAGGTGAAACTGAAATATCTGGTCTGGACACATGGACAATAATATATATACATACCAAGCCCTACACTTACTCTCATCTACCAGCGATCTAGACAATAATTCCGCACCAACCCGGTACACCACATCCAGTACATATTTCGCAAATGCCTCTGACTTACGAGTACTTGCGACAGGAATAAAAATAAAAACTCGGTAAGAAATTAAGCCACGGAAATGATAAACCCGAAATCGGGTTCTCAAATCGATGTTTCGGTTTTTGTTTTAAATACATTACTTAGAACGGAAACATAACCTATGAGGTTAAACGATCTGTCGACGTGGATTCACTCCACGCGTGTAACCTACAATTACGCGAACTTTCTAAAACCAGTGGGGCAAATACCTTTTGCGGACCGAACGTTTACAAACCAATTGTAAGTGAGCGAGGTGTCTGTAATACACGCGTGGTTTTTTTTAAAACTTAAATACTTCGTTGAGAGATTCGGTATATTTCGGTAGCCTTAACCGAATGCACAACGAGAGAGAGAGAGAGAAACACCTTTCTCAATCCACTTCTGGATGAAGAACAATTTGACAACCACCACCACGTGACCAAATCGGTCACGTGGTGGTGGTTGTTTGACCATACTTCACCACGCTCGTCAGTGCAGGCTGGTGAAGCGGGCAGCACCAGAAGCAGCTCAGATATCACTGACCACTGACGGTCGGCGATTGCCTGGAATCAAACTCACAGCACCGGTGCCTTTATGAGCACATACATATGTAATAAATAGATTGTAAACGGTAGAGTCTGGCTTCCTTTACATATTACGTTGGCAATATCTTGTTAATCGCTAATACATGCTAATTAAATATCTTAGGTTGTGATCACATATAAGTGTAACGAGCAAATTTTTGTGCCCTGTTATTAAATTATTTACAGTATTCCGGACTCCCCCCTGCCCCCCCCGTTAATCCGGCTTCGAGAGTTTTGTTTTGGTCCCTGAATCCCATGCGTGAAACACGTGGTTACCAATGGATTCTCGCACTCACAATACACGTGTGGGATATTGGTCACTCACGATTCAATTAAAAAATGCGCATTTTTAATCGAGCTTCAGCTGCTGCTAGCCCCTACGGGAGGGTCTCATCAGCGAGAAAGAGAGAGAGAGCGAGAGAGTTCGTGTGGTTTCGCTGTCCCTCCTCCACCTCCTTCCATCGAATAAGCGCAGACTGCCACCGTGGCTTTACCGGTCTGACCCGCACGACAACAAGCGCAACTCCTCTTGTGGCCGCGTCTTCAATTTAAGATTCGGTTGATGGTCACAGGAGGAGGAGGAGGGAGGAGGAGGGAGGAGGAGTGTGAAAGCCAGGAGGTGATGCGACGTTTGGATCTCGAGTGAGATGTTTATTCTAGACGTCCGCGTTGTGTTGTGCACGATGGAAATTGTTTGCGAATGTCACATCTGGGCTGACGGGTCGAATGGGGGACAGAAGAGAGCAGACGGAGAGGAAGGGTTGAGACGATACTGGAAGGCACTCAAACGCACAACTTACGCGATAACGAGTTTTAAATAAGCGTAGTGCCGCATCGCCCCCTAGCGAAAGTAACGGATTCTGGGCTGCGCGTGGTATGACAATTCAGGCGTTCCCGAACTCCAAGCCCTCGTGAATACAAATTTAACTGGTTACACGCTGCACGCGCCCGATGATCGTTAAATCGACGATGTCTGCGTCACGTGACCCACGCTGAGATCTCGTTCTAAATGCGAATCGGCTCTCGATGAACGCAGGCATCGATGATTTTATTGCTTAGCGCGTCAAGTCAGACGCAGTTTAACAATTATCGGGTGCGCGCAGCGTGGAACGGATTAATTTGTATTTGAATGGGGGGAGGGGGGCGGTAAATGTGTAAACGCGGAAAGACGAGAGCGTGGTGTTAGGTGGGGGGGGGGGGGGGGGGGGGGGGGGAGCAAGCACTGGAGATTGGGAAAGCCTGGACCCGAAATTATTCTCGTCGGCTCGGCCAGGGGTCGGCAACCAAACAACAAACAAGAAGGGACATTTTGTTCGAATTCAGTAAAAAATAAACACCACCCCTCAATACTCCGAGAGCTGCAATGCACGTGAGTACAATGGACATGAGTACAATGCACGTGAGTACAATGCACGTGATGTACAATGCACGTGAGTACAATGCACGTGAGTACAATGCACGTGATGTATAATGGACGTGAGTACAATGGACGTGAGTACAATGCACGTGAGTACAATGGACGTGAGTACAATGCACGTGATGTACAATGCACGTGAGTACAATGCACGTGAGTACAATGCACGAGAGTACAATGCACGTGAGTACAATGCACGTGATGTACAATGCACGTGATGTACAAGGGAGTCTTCAACAACGTCCAACAATATTTTTCTGTAAAGCCCCGATTTTAAGAACAGCGCACGCAACAGTGATTTGTAATGCCGCATTACAAATCACTGTTGGGCAATAATGCCTTCACCGTTCATCGAATATAATTTGGAGGGGTTCTGTTTGTGTGTGTGCGTCGTTTTTTACTTTGCAATGAGATTGTCGGGAGGCCCTAAAGAGTCAAGGGCCGCATGCGGCTCCTGAGAGGCAGGTTGCCGATTCCCCGTGCTAGGCAGTCCGCTTTGCCGGTCCCCTCGTTCAGAACCGCTCGAGTCTGAAAAGAATCGAGCCAAGACTAAGACCTGGATTTTGAACGTACCCCTTTGTCACGTGTGCGGAAGACTAATAATATTGCGTCGCATTTGTTTTTTTTCTGTCTCCTTAAATCATGTTCCAAGTTTACCGCCGGGGTGCTACGTTGTCGAGAGACGAAGGCACGTCCATTTGGAACCCTTCCGGAAGGCGCTGCACAGCCGTGCAGTGCCGGATTCAGCTAGTGCGGGGCCTGTAGCATTTGTTATAAAGGGGCACTAAATAAAATAAAAACCATAAATATTAAAATACAAATTTGTAACTTGCATAGTAAAGTAATTGTATGTTTTCTTTTGCTACACGGCCAGATAATACGACAAATCCCTAAACTTAAACACCCAGTCGTTCATGAATGTTGAAGGCAGTCTAGTACTATAGTAATAGAGCAAGTGCAGAATTGATGGCTTGAAGTAATTTTCGCGCGGGACCATTGAAAGTGTCGCATATGTAGCTACTTTTGCAACTAGGATCACCCGGCACTGCAGCCGCGTGTCGCTGTTCGTCACGTGGCGATCAAAACCAAACGTCTGTTCAGTATTTTAAACCAAAGTTTCGCCCGATGAAATGAACATCAAACGTAACATCGTGCCTTTATTTTTTGCAGTTCTCAGCGACAAGGCTGAGGATCGTAAAATCACTGCACTTGGGAATCTGGTTTTTAAATAACAATAAAAAAAACTGCGGCTGGAATACGAAGAATCAAAATTCAGGATCTCAGTAGGGCCTGCCTGGCATCTCCGACACGGCCCTCACGGGCACCATCTTTGGGGGCACCTTGTCACCCGAAAGTTTACATTCCTATTCCAAGATAAATACATGTAGCAATGAAATAAATAGGAAGACGGACGTCAATGCTGAGGCCCAACAACTCAGCACCACGGCGATCGTCAACGCAGCGTATAAAATGATCACCAAAACACGAACTAGATTCAGTGCGCTTTGCTCGCTCAGACTCGGCTGAAAGTTCAGCAATGTCACGTGGAATGTCCACCTCTTGCTCAGAACCAGCGGCAAATATGAGCACCAATTATGACTCTGTTAAGAAAACTGCTCTCATGTAAAACGAGCAGCTGCATGGATGACGTAACGCCTCCCAAGGCGCGTTCATCGTCGGAGGGATTCGATTAACTGCACGAATGATTATTTAGGACGTGGAACGTCCGGATTTAGCCAGTTAACCCAGCTAGTTCACGAGCGAGATACGCTGTGAATCGGCCGTACAGATGCTGATGGGTGGTTCTCTGGTAGGGTTAAGGCAACCGGTGGTCTCTTGTAGGCTTAAGACAACCGGTGGTCTCTGTTAGGGCTAAGACAACCGGTGGTTCTCTGGTAGGGTTAAGACAACCGGTGGTCCCTGGTAGGGTTAAGACAACCGGTGGTCTCTGGTAGGGTTAAGACAACCGGTGGTTCTCTGGTAGGGCTAAGACAACCGGTGGTCTCTGGTAGGGCTAAGACAACCGGTGGTTCTCTGGTAGGGCTAAGACAACCGGTGGTTCTCTGGTAGGGCTAAGACAACCGGTGGTCCCTGGTAGGGTTAAGACAACCGGTGGTCTCTGGTAGGGCTAAGACAACCGGTGGTCTCTGGTAGGGCTAAGACAACCGGTGGTCTCTGGTAGGGCTAAGACAACCGGTGGTCTCTGGTAGGGCTAAGACAACCGGTGGTCTCTGGTAGGGCTAAGACAACCGGTGGTTCTCTGGTAGGGTTAAGACAACCGGTGGTTCTCTGGTAGGGCTAAGACAACCGGTGGTCTCTGGTAGGGCTAAGACAACCGGTGGTTCTCTGGTAGGGCTAAGACAACCGGTGGTCTCTGGTAGGGTTAAGACAACCGGTGGTCTCTGGTAGGGCTAAGACAACCGGTAGTCTCTGGTAGGGCTAAGACAACCGGTGGTTCTCTGGTAGGGCTAAGACAACCGGTGTTTCTCTGGTAGGGTTAAGACAACCGGTGGTCTCTTGTAGGCTTAAGACAACCGGTGGTCCCTGGTAGGGTTAAGACAACCGGTGGTCTCTGGTAGGCTTAAGACAACCGGTGGTTCTCTGGTAGGGCTAAGACAACCGGTGGTCCCTGGTAGGGTGAAGGCAACCGGTGGTCCCTGGTAGGGCTAAGACAACTGGTGGTTCTCTGGTAGGGTTAAGACAACCGGTTGTCTCTGGTAGGGTTAAGACAACCGGTGGTTCTCTGGTAGGGTTAAGACAACTGGTGGTTCTCTGGTAGGGATAAGACAACCGGTGGTTCTCTGGTAGGGTTAAGACAACCGGTTGTCTCTGGTAGGGTTAAGACAACCGGTGGTCCCTGGTAGGGTTAAGACAACCGGTGGTCCCTGGTAGGGTGAAGGCAACCGGTGGTCCCTGGTAGGGTGAAGGCAACCGGCAGGTTTCTTCGGCAGGTCTAAGACGCCGGCAGCTCCGGGGCTATCTTGGCGACGACGCAGGTGCAGGCGAGCGGCACGTCCACCCAGCGGCGCTCGTAGTCGTAGAGGCGCGACGCGGGGTCGCAGGCCCGCCGGTAGAGGGCGCGCATGCGGTACACGACGGGCACGGAGACGAGGGAGCGCTCGAACGCCCCGGCGCTCGGCTCCACGCAGCCCGTGCAGAGGCACTCGGCCATGGCGATGCGCGACGGGTAGCGGTTGGGGTCGTGGTCCACGCTGAGCGATGAAAGAGGCGCAGGGAGGAAGAGAAGGCAGAGGGAGGGAGGGGAGAGATTGAGGCATGCGGAGAGAGTTGCGGAGGAACGGAGGTGATGCGGTCTCTTTTTGCGTTACGTCAATTGGTTACGACGCAATGAATGTATTACGGGGAACGCGTTTTTTTTTTTAATATATACATATATAACGCGGATGCGAATTGGATGCAATGCGTTCGAGCGAACGTAGCCACGTCGCGCGTTACCCCTATATTGTATCATTTATAATGACGACGTTGACTTGTGAGAACGACAAGTCAGGAACGCAACAACCGCCGCGTTTTCGGAGAACAGACGGCACAGATTCCACCCGTGCCTTGTCGGTGCAGCGATCAAGTGCACTGCTGCACCAGGGAGCTAAGTTCGACTCCCGACCATGGCGAGTGATGTCTCGAACGGGTCCTAGCATCCTACCGCCTCCCACTGATCACTGGAAATTCTGCAGCACTAATGATAAGAGCCATTGTCCGAAACGTCGCATATTTTATACTTTTCCTTTAAAGGCCACGCAAAGACAAGGTCCCCCGTATAGTCTTCACAGACCGTTGGAGCAAGTGCTGTTGGCGAGCACTTACGAAGGCCGGAACGGCACACGAGGGGGTGGGTGGCCACCACCACGCCCGGCCGCCTTTGTCTCCCCAGTGGCGATGTTTACATATCGCACCAGGTACTAATTTGAGACTGAGTCGACCTAGGGGAGGCCCAGGATCGGTTCAGATAATCGTCACTGGTGTAGGCCGTGAGCTGGAAACGAACTTGGGTTGCCCGATTAATATATATTACCAGGTAAGGGCCACTGAGCTATATGTAGATTTTTTTCAGAAGCGACCTGGCCACAAATGATAGCTCAACGAAGTGGCTCGTCATCACGTGGAAATGTACAGCAGCCAAATATTCTAAACGCACGTTTCTAAACGTGGAGGAGAAAACCAGAGGACCCAGAGAAAAATCCACGCGACCATGGGAGAGACAGAGAGAGACACTGCAACACTCCAAATATACAGCAGGCGTCAGGGTCGGGATCGAGCCCACGACCTCCTGTACTCCAGGCGAGGTAGTTAACATCTCCTAGCCATCGTGATGATGATGAGAGAAAGAAAGAGAGACACGCAAACTCCAAATATGCAGCAGGCGTCAGGGTCGGTATCGAGCCGACGACCTCCTGTACCCCAGGCGAGGTAGTTAACATCTCCTAGCCACCGTGATGATGATGAGAGAGAGAGAGACACGCACACTCCAAATATACAGCAGGCGTCAGGGTCGGAATCAAGCCCACGACCTCCTGTACACCAGGCGAGGTAGTTAACATCTCCTAGCCACCGTGATGATGAGAGAGAGAGAGAGACACTGCAACACTCCAAATACACAGCAGCAGGCGTCAGGGTCGGTATCGAGCCCACGACCTCCTACGCACCAGGCGATGGAGTTAACATCTCGGTGCAACTTCGCTCACCGTATAGTCCACGGTGCCAGCGCCCGGGCCTCCAGCTCGGTGGAGGCGACGATCCCTTTCCACGACGGGCAACGCGAGCCGCTCCCATTCTTGCCCGCAACGCCCTGCGCGCGTCCCGCGACCCTGCCTCCGGCGAGCGCCGCGTCCGACCGCGCGACCTCGGCTCCGCTCAGCCGCTCCACGAGGCGCTCGTTGAGCAGCGCGCGGCGCCGCGAGCCTCGGCAGCCGTGCAGCTCGCGTCTGAGGAAGCTCTCGGAGCGGTCGCGGCACGTGGAGTCGCGGGGCGCTGCGCTGGCGTGGCCCGGCGGGTGTCTCCGCGCCTCCGCGGGCACCGTCGCCGACGTGGTCGCGATGATGATGAGGACGGCGGCGAGCAGAAGCCGAGGAAGCCGCGGCGCCGTCGGTCCGCTGGTGCGACGGGAGGTGCGTGTCTGCGGACGGCGAAGTTTGTGATAAAACAACAACAACAACAACAACAAAAATGTCACAAGCGAATTAAATCAAAGGCGTATTGGGTGAAACGCCCCGCGTCAACGTCGCATGAGAGAGTGTTGGCCGTGTGTATCGCTCAATTGGTTTCTGATGCATCGATCGAGGTGATGTCGCCTACACGCACATTGTCAAGACGAGAATCAGAATATTGTGTTTGTACTGCAGGAGGAATGCCATGAGCTATGAAGCTCTTCATCACGGTTGTCCAGGAGGGGTACGGGGTCAGAACGTTACAACAAATAATACAAACACACGTTAGTACTGCAGAGTACAGAAAAGGTAAATAAATCACGTTTAAAAAAATAAAAAATACGAAATAAACGAAACAATGTTTTATTAATCTTACCAGCTAAAGCCCACTTGAGCTATTATCTAATTTTTCACAAGCGGTATGGCTACCACAAACGGTCGCTCGGCGAAGTGGCTTTCCATCACGTGGTTAATGTGCGTCACTGGTGTCGAGAAGCCCTCGCGGAGCAAAATGTTGAGTCGACAAAAGGACCGACGTACATCGAGGCGACTTCACAGGGTAGCAGTCGTCGTAGTAGTGGGTGGTGGTGGAGGTGGTGGTGGTGGTGGTGGTGGAGGTGGTGGTGGTGGTGGTGGAGGTGGTGGTGAAGGCTGAGAGGCGACGGGATGACGAGAAAGGAATGGACGACGACGTCGTCAGCGACGTTGAGCGCGGTGGGGTCAAGGCGACGCGAATCGGGTTAATAATAACAGTGACGACGTGTTTGCGAAACCGACGTAAAACTGGGGAGCATCGAATCGGGGTTATGGCTGCACCAGTCCGTTTCAATATGCAGTAGAGTATTCGCAAAGAGCGCAGAAGCGTGGTCCACCACATCTACGCCTCTATAAGGAGCGAAACAGGAGGACTTCTCCACGAATCTGGCTGTCGCCTGATGAAGCTAGTCGTAATTACTGGCGGAACGTCGTACTCAGATTGTAAATATTGTGGCTCGGCTCTCCAACACACACACCGGTGTGCTGTACTAGTGACGAATTGGCACGTTCTGTTTACGTGACAAGCCTTACTAGTTAGCTGTGTCGGGTGGTGGCGGGTTTAACGACGCAACATTTATACATTTACGCGATCTGACCCCCCCCCCCAAAAAAAAACTCTATTAGGGCAGATAACAATTGTAATAATCTATCTATTTAACTATGTTTCTATGTATCCAGGAGAGCCGCACTAAGTGACACGGCTCATTGTTATTTATGTATTTAGTTAGAGGCGTTGTCAACCCCAATGTAGGCAGAGTCAGAGAGGGGAAACCGAAGGTGAACCCGGAGAAAATCCGCGCGACGATCGTCGTCCACACTTCCCCGCTGTTGCTGCCATCTGCTGGCGAGGCAGGGCACGGCACCCCATCGACGCTCAACCCACGTGAACAAGGGGAGTTTCGCAAACTATGTCTTTTGATTTTTTTTTTAACAGGTAAGCTATGTAGCGACCTGGCCACAAACGACAGCTCAACGAAGTGGCTCATCATCGTGTGGACATTTAGAGCAGCCAAATCCTCTGCACGCGTGATGCCGATTCTAAACGTGGGAAAACCGGAGGACCCGGAGGAAAAATTCCACCCGACCACGGGGAGAACACGCAAACTCCAAATATACAGCAGGTGTCAGGGTCGGGATCGAACCCACGACCTCCTGCATACCAGGCGAGGTAGTCAACATCTCCTAGCCACCGTGATGATGATGATGAGAGAGACATGCACACTCCAAACATACAGCAGGTGTCAGGGTCGGGATCGAACCCACGACCTCCTGCATACTAGGCGAGGTAGTCAACATCTCCTAGCCACCGTGATGATGAGAGAGAGAGACATGTACACTCCAAACATACAGCAGGTGTCAGGGTCGGGATCGAACCCACGACCTCCTGCATACCAGGCGAGGTAGTCAACATCTCCTAGCCACCGTGATGATGAGAGAGAGAGACATGCACACTCCAAACATACAGCAGGTGTCAGGGTCGGGATCGAACCCACGACCTCCTGCATACCAGGCGAGGTAGTCAACATCTCCTAGCCACCGTGATGATGATGAGAGAGACATGCAAACTCCAAATATACAGCAGGTGTCAGGGTCGGGATCGAACCCACGACCTCCTGCATAATAGGCGAGGTAGTCAACATCTCCTAGCCACCGTGATCATGAGAGAGAGAGACATGCACACTCCAAACATACAGCAGGTGTCAGGGTCGTGATCGAACCCACGACCTCCTGCACACCAGGCGAGGTAGTTGACATCTCGCCACCGTGGCGTCCACAAAAAGATGATTTCCGGTGATCCACCAACCCTGGCTGCTGTTTCCACCACAGTGATGGATTACAGGCGGCAGCCGCGTGCAGAGCCACCGCACAGAGTACACTAAATGGCGTTGACGTCACCACGACGCTTGTGTCAGGCCAGGTGCACTCTGAGGCCACGTGAAGTGTCTAACGCCCGCTGGCAGGAGGTCACGGGGCAGACCCAGTCGCCGTGGGTTGACTGACTGAGATGCCTGGCAGATGCACCACCTGCGGCACCGCTTCCCGTGCCAGCGCACAGCACACACACAACACACTCATAGGGCGCTCCAAATGCGATCTCACCTCTGCCATGGGAGAACGGTCCAGGAGATGACGGAATTCTTCTCGGAGACTTTGTCGTGCGAGCCTCGTCTCTGTCCTCGCGTCTCAACTCTGATTGTTCATCCGCGGCGCTCCGCGTGTTTTATAGCTCGCGCCACCGCGGGCGAACATATCCGCCCGCCCACTCACTCCTCTACTCAATCCTCTTGGCCCTCTTTGCTTTAGCCCCACCACACACACACACATACCACGTGGCTCGCGCAAAAACAACAACAACACAAAATATCCACGACGTCCAAGGTCGTTGGCCGGCTGCAAATTCACAAACGCGATTTGTAATTTCCAGCCCCGCCTGCTTTTTGCTGCTTTCCTGCTTGCTGATGCTGTGGTCACAGGGAAGAAGCGAAGGTCATAAAAAAATCCCCCCCCACCCCCCCCCCCGTGGTATGAGACCCACATTGAGATAAAAAGACCCCAAAGATAATATATTCGTATTGTGCGTTCAACAAACAAAACGAAAATATCTAACGGGAATTTTGACTTGTTCCTGAACTTGACTGTGAAAATATCGCAAGCGTTAAAGTATGCGCTTGATCTCACTCGGGGCTTCCTAGTTTCATAAGCATAGCGTACACACACACACGCACGCGCGCGCGCTTGCACCCACGACACGCACGCGCGCGCGCGATCCGTGGGCTTTACCTCGGTATTTGCATAACGAGGAGGTAGGTTGCAAGTCGAGGTGTCGCCCCGTGACGTGGCCAAAAGGAAACGGTGGAGTGTGCGGCGGATACAAAGGGCACGGGGTGGGCTCCGGTACGGCTGAGTGTCCGTATTTATTTTTGGTGCCGTGAAGTGAGAACGACTGCGGTGAGAAGGCGATGGGGGGAGGGGGTGGAGGAGGGAGGAGGGGTTTTCTTGCGCGCGCGTAGGAACGACTCTTCGCCTGCACCACGGCGCAGACCTGATCGGGTGTAAGACGAGGAGTTGGCATGGGTTTTGAGAGCGTGAAATGATGGGGGAGAACACGAGATGGACACGCAAAGAGACAGAGAGAGAGACAGCCAGACACGGAGGGAGACACACAGAGAGAGAGAGAGAGAGATACGGAGACACGCGGAGATAGACGCGGGGAGATGTATGCGGGGAGACTGATACGGAGATTCGGAGAGATACAAAAGAACAAAGGCAGTTACAGAGACACGGAGAGAGAGAGAGACGAGGTGGAGAGAGACTAGCGGTGACAGACACGGGGACACGCAGAGAGAGAGAGAGAGGCAGGGACATTGAGATCGTCACAAAGATACAATTGGAGACGGAGACATGCAAATACACTTCGATTACTACGGAGTTAGAGAGATAGAACGGAAGGCGGACACGAACAGACGGTTAGACAACGTGGAGAGAGACACTCAGAGTGAGAGATTACAAGGGAGCTAAGCGGGGTTTCGCAGCCTGGTCGGCGCTTGGACGTGCGATCACCAGCCGCGGCTTGCCAGGTGCTGTAGGAGTTTGAGCTGCGAGGTTTGGCCGCGAGGTGGCAGCCGGGCAGCGCGTGCCAGTCCCGCCATGGTTGCATTGGGTTGGGTCTCTGTGTGTGCGTCGAATCTATCTGTGCGGAGTTTCAGAGCGTCACTCGCTCGTGCACGATGAGCGTCGTCCCCCCTCCCCCCCCCCCCAATACTCCAGTTCATTCGCACCGTACGTAGCCAACCGTGCTAATCGGAGGTGCTGTTTGTATGTTGAACTTCTTTCGCACCGTACGTAGCCAACCGTGCTAATCGCGCAAAACTATCGGAAGACATCAGGATACCGGTGAAGCTTTCTCTCTGGCTAAATCCCACAATACACGTGCAGCCCCTTTATGAATCCACTGCTGGATGAACAAACCATCCCCTCGTCTTAGCGCCTTGGGGATCCGCTTCACCATACTTCACCACGCTGATCAGTGCGGGATGGTGAAGATGAATGCCGCCGATTTGGTTCCCGTGTTCATCGCCGTGCGCTAACCAATGCACCACCGCTCCACCGCCCTGGGTGAATAAGTGGCAAACTTGATTGATTATTCTCAGGTGGATGGATCACCTAAATGTGGGGATAATGAGTATTAACTAGTATGAGTTGTGCATTATATTACCCTAGGACCCTTTGGAGGGCTCACCACCGTTGATTCGAGCAAGCCTGACTGCTGATGAAACACTTTACGTTGATACCGGTCAAGCGTTTGCTCGTACCGAATCAATGCCTGCTGAAATAATCGAAGCCGCGGGGCCAATCGATAGTGTGAAAAAACACTTTCAAAAATATCTATTTATATTCATATTCTCGCTACACGGCCAACACCAGTGACGATTTATTTGAACGGGTCGCAGGACCCGGTCCTGGCGAGATGATGTGCGGCCTGGCGTGGTGCCGGTCACCCACCCTCTCGTGCGCCGTGCCGGCCTTCAGAGGTGCTACTCGCTCACGGCACTTGCCCCACAAGTCGATTGCGGGCTACACTATCGTTGTGGTTGATGGGAGCAGCATTCAGAGGTGCTACTCGCTCACGGCACTTGCCCCCAACGGTCTGTTCAAAGGCTACACGGGGGGCATCTTTCTCTCTGTCGCATCACCGAGGAGCGCGCAGCAGAGAGGCTCGGCCCGGCGTAACGCGACGCGGAGGCTGATTTGCATTTCGTGTCGCGTCCAGGCGCACCCCGCCTCGCCCTCCGCGTGCGGCGCGCCGTCCTCGCCGGCGCTCTGACCTCACCGTTTTCTCTTTCCCCGTGGGAAACGGAGCATAGGGCAACTCGAGATGCGCTCATAGGAAACTCACAAACATCCTCCCATTGCCCCTCCTTCCCCCGCCTCGCTCTGCCCACCCCCTCCTCCCGGTTTTTCCCCACGCTCTCCCCACGCCCTCCCCCCCGCTCCCCCCACGCTCTCCCCACCGCTCTCCCCACGCTCTCCCCCCGCTCTCATTACCCTCTCCCCACGCTCTCCCCGCTCTCTCCCCACACTCTCCCCACGCTCTCCCCCCGCTCTCTCCCCGCTCTCCCCACCCTCTCCCCACGCTCTCCCTTCGCTCTCCCCACGCTCTCCCCTCGCTCTCCCCCACCCTCTCCCCACGCTCTCCCCACGCTCTCCCCTCGCTCTCCCCTCGCTCTCCCCACCCTCTCCCCACGCTCTCCCTTCGCTCTCCCCACGCTCTCCCCTCGCTCTCCCCTCGCTCTCCCCCCGCTCTCCCTTCGCTCTCCCCCCGCTCTCCCCACCTTCTCCCCCCGCTCTCCCCACCCTCTCCCCACCCTCTCCCCACGCTCTCCCTTCGCTCTCCCCCCGCTCTCCCCACGGTCTCCCCACGCTCTCCCCCCGCTCTCCCTTCGCTCTCCCCCCGCTCTCCCCACCCTCTCCCCACGCTCTCCCCACCCTCTCCCCACGCTCTCCCTTCGCTCTCCCCCCGCTCTCCCCACGGTCTCCCCACGGTCTCCCTTCGCACTCCCCCCGCTCTCCCCACCCTCTCCCCCCGCTCTCCCCACCCTCTCCCCACGCTCTCCCTTCGCTCTCCCCCCGCTCTCCCCACGCTCTCCCCACGGTCTCCCCACGCTCTCCCCACGGTCTCCCCTCGCACTCCCCTCGCTCTCCCCACCCTCTCCCCACGCTCTCCCCACCCTCTCCCCACGCTCTCCCTTCGCTCTCCCCCCGCTCTCCCCACGCTCTCCCCTCGCTCTCCCCTCGCTCTCCCCTCGCTCTCCCCACGCTCTCCCCTCGCTCTCCCCACGCTCTCCCCTCGCCCTCCCCTCGCTCTCCCCACGCTCTCCCCACGCTCTCCCCACGCTCTCCCCTCGCTCTCCCCTCGCTCTCCCCACGGGTTGAGAACCCGCTGGAATGATGTACTGGCCGTGTGAATGTGACGGTGGTTGTGGTGGTGATAGCTTCACGGCCAACACCAGTGACGATTATATCTGAACAGTTCCTGGGCCTTCTCTAAGTCGACTCGGCCTCAAATGAGTACCTAGGCACTGTGTGTAAAAACATCGCCACTGGGGAGACAAAGGCGACCGGGCGTGGCGCTGGCCACCCACCCCCCTCGTGTGCCGGCCTTCATAGGTGCTGCTCGCGGACAGCACTTGCCCCCAGCAGTCTGTTAAGGCTACACGGGGCACCTTTGTCTTTGGGGAGGGGAAATCCCTGCACAGATGGGACTCGTCTAATTCTTCACTCAACACCTCCCTGCCGCCACCGTTTCATGTCACGTGGCCTCATTCGTAGATCTGCGAGGGTCTGAACTTTCCATCGGTGACCTGTCATACAAATACCCCCGGGGAATTTGTGAATACTCAACCACGAATAGCATTAGCACCCCCCCCCACCCCACTACTCTCCTCCACGGGTACTCCAGATGTCCAATACCAATACCCGCCAATCGCACACGAAGTGATGGTGACATCACCACGGCGACTGTGCCAGGCCAGGTGCACTCTGAGGCTATCACGTGAAGTGTCGAAGGCTCGCTGACAACGGGACAGACCCAGCAGGTGCCGTGGGTTGGCTGACTGAGATGATCGGTAGATGCATCAGCTGTCCCCACGACTGTGCCAACTTGCTGCATTTTATCCGCCCGACGCTCCGCTCGTTGTTGTGAGCGTCGCTCCTCTGCTCTACCGATGTCCACCCACATGTATGCGCACACACTCATGAATGGAGTTGGCCGAATATGCAAATATAGGACGCCAGAGCTCTCGGTGCCGGCTTCTCCCTCCTCGACATCCCACGGGTGGAAATTAATTCCCCAAGCCATCTGTGTGTGATCCACCAAATCCAAAAACACACATTCGGGTCAAACAATGTAGCAGAGGAGCCTTGCGAAGAAAATAAAAAAAATCGTCAGGAAAAATAAAACCTCAACTCTCCTGGATAAGACAATAACAAAATAAGCAAAGTAATCGACTGCTCGGGTGAAAAATTTAGCTACGCATACATACACATTGGGCAGGTATTTTTTGCTTCCCATTGTATGATTGCGTAGCCTGCATAAATCACCTTGGGGGGATGATGCAATCCCCCCCCCCCACCACTCTGCTTTATTACCATGCACGCCATCAATTAAAAACAATGTTTTTTTTTTAATAACTGGGGGGGGGGGGCTTTTCGCGCAAAAGGCAAACAATAGAACTAAATTCCATTCAAAAGTGTAACGTTAGTCAAACATTGACGCGTTCGGATTCGAGTTCAGCGTTATCGTAATAAAACACAAGCACGCCTGCGCTCGCGGAAGAATGCCTGTGCTATGTTTAGCCGCAGAGAGGGCAAAGTTAAGTGCATGGTAAAAAAAACCGAGAATGGTGCAAAAAATATACACGGTGGGGGGTGGGGGTGTGTGTGGGGGGGGGCGGGCAACGGGCGACCTATTTTTAGGTCCG